TTTTTTATAAACATTATATTATTAAAAAGTGTTATCAACATAATGACAACACTTATAGTTTTAAGATATTACTTTGAAAAAATCACGAAAAAATTATCGGTAAATATAGGTAAATATACCGGTATTATCGTATACCGGTATGACGTCATACCGGTATTTCTGCATTTCGGTTTGCATAAGGGTTTTCATAGTATTACCCAAAAATATCGGTAAAATACCGGTATTTTGCATATCCCCCGGTATAAGTCCCTGTATATATCTATATATATCTATATTATATATCTATATCTATATATATATCTTATAAAGGTTTTATATAAGTCATACGCAAGTATGTATATCTTTTTTTTCTTTCTTGTAAAATTGTGACAAATTTTATAATTAGATATAGATTTATATACACATGTCAAAAAAGATGAGTGTTATGTCATAAAAATATAAATATTAAATTTATAAAAATATATGCAATAAATAAACTAATTGAACATTTCGAAACCTTTCTGTGTCATTAAAAAATTACGTACCATCCGATATAACATTGACAAAGATTTTCGTTATTTGTAGCTTGTTGTATCAACAGATCTACTTGACGCCGAACGCTTAGGGTTTCTTCGTGCGAAAAATCGCGTCCCGTTAATTTGTCTCTGACTCTTGTTATTATTGCTAGAGCCTTCTTGTTCAGTGCTTCCGGTTGATTGTTATCGCCTGCAAATTTTGCAGAAGGATATATGTATGTAAACGAATTTTGTTAATTCTAATTTTTTTAAATATTTATACACACTACTAAGATATGTTATATATATATCATACCTCCATTTTCGATACTACACGGCACACCCTTCTTTGGTAATGTAGAGGTAAGAGAATCGAGCATATCCCCGTGTTCCTGACTGCTGCTCGCGCTCATACCTTGAGCGTCCGAACGTTTGCCTTTGGGTACCGTGTTATCCATTAATCTCCAATTGAGAAGAGGATCATAAACGAACGCTTCCAAAACCGCCATTAAACTGTCTTTGTTTCGATGCAACACAGACATGACGGACTCGCAAGTCCTTCGATAAGTTCCTTCGATACCGGTCACCTCCATCGCGTTGATCAACATCCGCGTCAATCGGAATGGTATTTTTTCCGGAAACTTCTCGCGCGTCATCGCAACTTCGAAGCAATCCCCGAAGTCAATGTGCAATATCTTGCCGCTAAGACGATCCAACATCAAGTTGGACGGGTGACGATCACCGAGACCCAATATATATCCTACCATGGACATCACAGCCAAAGAGCGTGTGTAATTCGTTCTTCGGTCGAACCACACTTCGCTCGAGGGTGACTTCAGCCACAAGAGCCGGGCCAGGTCGTCGCCATGCGTATGTTCGAGCGCGTGTTCGAATACCTCAACCTTTTGCATGAGCATGAGGTGATCGTAATCAGGTGCCATCTAAAAGTGGAAGTGATATATATAGTGCGTTAAAGGATTTCGAGAATTTCTTCTTCCGGTGAAAGTCGTCCGTCACACAAGAACATACGTACTCGTAACATTATTCTATGTTCGATATTCAACAATATCTTTTTCTTCTCTCTGTAATCTCTGATAAGAGTGTGAAGCGTGTCGCAATGCGGCACCCAACCGATAAGCCCGCTGTTCGTGGACAACGGAATCACAGCGTATCTCTGCAAAATCGAATAAAAAAAACATTTAAGTAAAATTCCGCAAGCAAATTTAATCAAGGTTGGGTAGTGTCTTAGTTAAAAAGATAAAAGTTAAGTTAAAAAGTTAAATAATTTTAAACTTTATCTAGTTACATATTTTTAGACTCTTATCTTTTAACTTTATTTAGTTATATTTTATCGGTAACTAGTAACTTTTTATTTCAACTCTCTTGAATCTACTACAGCCATAAGATTTTTTATTTGTTTGCATACAAAACGGAACATATTTTTTTTGTCGTATGATCATAATTAATTTTACATGTTTATAGGCCGAAAAATTCGACCANTCACAAAGCTCAGAATGATTCGTTTTATATGCGAATAAATTCGCACGTGTTCGAGAATNGAGCCAATAAACGCTGGTCGTAAAAAATCCAACGCAATATAATTTATAATAAAATATATGTAAAGTATATTTCTAAATAAAGTGTACATTTATTTTTTCCATTATATGTAAGATTAAAACACTGTAAATGTTTGTGTAATTATTTGTAAGACTGAAACACTAAAATCGTGAAAAAAAATTTAACTTTTAACTTGTTAATTATTTTTTTTTATTAACTTAACTTTTGATCAATTAATTTCATTATGGATTAACTTATATCTTAACTAAATAAAATTTTTAAGATCTTTAACTGTAACTTAACTTAAATAAAAAAAAAATTTAACTTACCCAACCTTGATCTTAACTAAATAAAATTTTTAAGACCTTTAACTGTAACTTAACTTAAATAAAAAAAAAAAAATTTAACTTACCCAACCTTGTAATTTAACACATCTTCGTTTGCAATTGATTTCAAACAACAACTTACTTGAATCGTTAGATTTCTTCGGAAAGTATCGGGGTCGTGCAACAAAAGGGTATTCACCAATCCAAACAACTGCATCACCCTTTCATCCTGTCTTAGATCCTCGTGACCTTTTAAGAGGAACATGTAATCCTTACCGTTGCTACCTATATAAAATACAGAGTTTCAAACATATATTTATTTCAAAATAAATCTAAACTTCATCCCTAGCTAGAGAACTGACCTTTGATACAAAGTTTCCTAGGTCTTTGTTTGCTAGTTATCACTTGCATGGAACTGTGAATACTTGCTATTCTCACTATGGGCTGACCGGGACTGTAACTTCCCGGCACGGCTAGTTCCAGATCTCGGCAAACGAGCAATTTAGGACTGACGTATTGCAATTCCAAACTCGTAAGTTGGGGCAATTGTCGAGATATTCGTCGAAAAACGTGATAATACAAATCCCAAGCTTGATTCAGATCTCTGACATTTCGAGACGCTTTGTATCTGTGACACCATTCCTGAGCTTCCATCAGATCCCTTCCGTAAGCTTGATTGAACGAAGTTTCTTTTAGAGTTTGGGGTCCTCTCTCGAGCATGGCGTGCAAAGGTTCCAACGTGTCGAACATGCCTCTGACGTTTCTTTCACCGAAGTACAATCTACTAGCTTCTTCCAAACCTTCGTGCCACAATTCGTGCCACAAAATCGCAACTCTAATGAGCTCGTCGCTCGCCATCATTGCTTGCTGAACCAACGTTGGACTGTGCTCGCACATGCTTTTCAAGATTTTGTTGGCCGCGGTCTTTCTCGCGTGACTCGCGCTCTTCGAAGCCACAGTTAACGGATAAACCAAAGCCTGAGGATGCGTCTTCCCTATATCTATCAAAAGATGATGTATGCAACGACCGACCAACACTCTGGGCGTGTCGATTCTGGCTATGAGTTGTGGAATGACTTGGAGCCAAGTGTTTATCTCAATCAATCTAATGCCTTCGACGACAGCGTCGTAAACCTCGGGCCATTGACCGTAATCGAACCAAAGTGTCAAAAGACGAAGAGTGTCTTGCAACGAATTACCGTCTGACAAGTTAATGGATCTGAAAAAACCTTCTACCGCGGGTACAGTAAACTGAGATATATATTGCGAACTGGAAAGATTGTTACGCGCTCCGTTGCCGGATGTTGCTTCCGCGGTTACGGAATCGTTGCCCTGCTGATGTTTATAAAACAAAACGGTTTCGTAATTGGTGTAAGCGAAGGCGTGCCAAGCTTTGTACCACGTGGGATCGTGTTCGGTTGCCGCGGCGTAGTAAGACAAAACCGCGTGAATGGAATGTTCGTTGATGCCTTGCAGAGCTTCCAACCAATCGCCAAGCTTGAGATAACATCGGGCGAGCAATCGTTTTTTGTTTTCGTGTTGCTTTTCGTCCTCTTGATTGATAATCGCCGCTGTCGTCGGCTGCAAATAAGTCTGGACAAATCGCTGAAGCTGATTGTAAGCTTCCTCGCGTTTGTTCGCGACCCACAGATGCTTGCAGTAAGCGAACGTTACTTGGGGATGAGTCGTTGGCAACGGTTGATCCGGAATTAACGAAGGATCCGCGCCCATTAGCATAACCAACGTTTTGTGACAGAGCATTAAACTACCGCTCTTTCGACATAGACTGGCGTACTTGAGCCACGTGTACATGTCGTCCTGCGGCGAGACCACCAGGGTGTGCACTTGTATGATCTTTTGCCAATCTTCGACTATTTTCTGCCCACCTTGAAGTCTCTCCCACCACATAGCCTTGATAGCCGTTCTGCGTTCGGGTACCAATTTAAATTGTATCACCTCTTCGAGCTCCGCCAATTTCTGCACCTCCACCATGGCGTTATAAGCCCGCTGATAGCTCTCGCCGGCCATGGCGGTCAACTCGGTGTCCAACAAATCTCTCGCGCTGTCGATAAGTTGATGCGCCACGTTATATTGTTCGTCGTGAATCGCCAATACAGCTCTGTAAAATGATCCGTCCTGAGTATCTTTTGATATCAACGATACGTATTTCTGCATACTCTCCCACTGACCCAGACCCCACGCCGCGGCCGCCGCCATTCTCGCCATTCTCTGTTTGATCTCGTCGTTTTGATGCAACCATTGTTTCGTCGCGACTTCGTGCAACTGGCCCCATTCGCCGAGAGCTTCCAAACAACGCATTTCTCCCAACGTAGATTCCACGTCCGCGGAATCGCTCTCCAAACGTTCCCGATAAAGCTGCAACGCTTTGTCCCAGTTGTGAAGCTTCTCGTACCAACGTACCTGAACCTTGAGATCCTGCTGATTGTGTTGGTTCATAACGTACTCCAATAAACCCTCGGCCGCTTCTTTTTGTTGAAGTTTGTTGTTTATCGAGATCAAAGACTCAAACACGTTGCTGCTCCTGCTCTTGTGAAACTCGTCTTCCTTGTAATGCAACGCCTTTGCGTAAGCGCGACACTGCATAGCCGTGTCGCCTAAAATTTTGTTGTCCAATGGCAAAGGACCTTTATCGCAGTGCTCCATAAACTCGGCCAGGTTCAGGATAGTCTGCGTCACCTCAGTAGGTAGGTCGGGTGCCATCAATGCCTGATTCAATGTCTGTATAAGTTCGGATCGGGAGTTCTCGTTTAATTCGGTCCAGCACGACACGAACGCCGCGTTAAACAGATCGCGCGGCAATACCGCATAAGTTTGCGCAAGCGCCCAACAAGACCTCAAAGCGGGTGACGGAGACTCCTTGAGCAGACCGATAGAGAAGCATCGCAGCCATTCAAGCCAATCGTCCTTGGACACTCGACGTGTCGCTGTCCAAGCTTTTTGCAAGTTCGAAGCCGACACGTGAAGTCTTTTGATCGTTGTTGTTTCCGAAGGCGTTAAGGAGAGCTCGCGATTCTTGTTGCGCGAATGTCGCAGCCTCATCAACAGAAAGTCCTCGCCGTCCGCCACAGTTGTATCGGTCAGGATCTTGTCTATCAAAACGTCGTAACGAGGATTAACTATTTTATGTTTCGTCATAACTTTTTGAACCAGCACAATAAAGATCTGATACTTCTTGCCCAGTTGTATAACAACGGCGCAGAGCGTGTCCATGGCTGTAATTCTCAATTCTGGACACTGATCCAACGTTCGTACAAGAGTGTGAACAATTCGTGACGCAAAATCCGTGAAATCCAACGTATCCGCGAGAAGATCAACCGTCTCGAGAGCAACCTTGTTCACGGCTATCGGACAATCGTTCGCGTAAAACAATTTCACGATTGGCGGAAGAACCAGATGCAGATAGTTATCCAGATTGCTGCCGAACGTCTGCAGAGCCACGAGCAGCTTAACCGTTACCGCGCGATCCTTGCTGCTGTCGTGCGTCAACACCCTCAATATAGGCGGCATTAACTGGGGCAGGTAGATCTTGAATTCCGCGCCCAACGCTATCGCAATCTGTTCGACCAGAAGAATCAACGTGCTCTGCAACGGACTGTTAACGGTCCAAAATTCTTTGATCAGAACAAATATATCATCCAGATAATTTCTTATGTGTTGCTTCACGATGGCGATGAGAACGGCCAACTGTTGAAACAAGAATTCGCGAAAATTCATGTCCGCCATGTGTACGACGTTTAAAAAACTTGGCATCACCTGAGAGATGTAAGGGACGCATTTTATGCCGAGACTCTTGAATATAAAAGTTACAGCTTGCACAACCATGGTGTGATGCTGAGACAAAGTTGGCTCGCGAATAATTCGCATGAGCGTTGTGATGGCGATGGCCGGATAAAATTCCTCCAATGTGGACGGCGACATGTTCACCAGCATCTCGCTGGTCGTCAAATCTTGAGTGTTCTCCACGTCAATTTTGGTATCGGCCATTGAGGTGAGGGTGTCCAATTGACAATCGATCTGTCCAAGATTCATCTTGTGTTTGTAAGGATCCAACGCGCCCAGCAGTCCGAGCACACGTATGGTCTCTCTCCTGATTATCGGCAATTGTTCGGACTTGAGAAAGTTAATGAGAACGTCCAACAGAGACGGATATTGCATGTAAGGTTTTACCACGTGGCCGGTACTACCGACCAGCTGGCCGAACACCCACAACGCTACTCCTCTTTTTTCCGGCGAACTGGCATCCACCAGCATTTCCAACAATATTGACGAAAGCTCGGGCATCCATTGCTGCATCTCGGCACCGTTCACCTCCGCCAAATCGCCGATCGCCCGCAACACGGCCAGTATCACACCTGGATTCGGATCGGATTCCTTTAATTTCGGAACGAGAACTTTCAAGATCGGTTCCATGTAGGGTCGAACGAGTCTTGGCGCGGTGACGATCAAATGGTCCAACATCCTCGCGGCTTGTTCTTTGTTACGTCCAACTCCCGAGTGTTCCAATTCCGTGAGAAACTGAACGAGGGTTTTTCTCAACGACGGCATTATGTAAGCGGGATTCAGGGTGCTGAGTCTTCCAACGGTACGCACCGCCAATTCCCTTATCTCAAACATCTCGTCGTTCATAGCGATGAACAGAGAGCACAAATTTTCGGCTTGAGCCAATTGAACGTCGAAAGAATCGTCCAACGACGCGAGTACCCACAAACGAACATCCGGATCCGTATCGGTTATCCCTACTACCAACAACTTGCCGAGAACAGTCGAAACGGTGGTGGTTACAGTTGGACCGGATTGATTCAGGGTTAATCTCAACAATCTCGAGCAAGTTTTCACAGCTTCCAATCGAACCTCAGCTTGTTCGGACGTTAGAAAATGATCCGCGCATCTCTTCACAAATTGCAACAGCGGATTATTGTCGAAGTTAAATGTGCCCAGAGTTTTAAGTGCCAATACTATCGACGAGATGTCGTCGGCTGTGGAAATCGGGCTGGTAACCACCCAAGGAGCTCCGGGATGTCTAAGTGGTTTTTGCATCAAAACCTGAGACAACATTCGCAAAAGACCTTGGGATATGTCGACTTGCAAAGACGGAATGCTGTGGGCCAGTTCTCTGAGCGCGGTTGTCAAGATCAAACTCAATCCCGTTTGGAACATAGGTTCCAACAGGTCTCTGACGTCCGAAGCGATGACTTGCTTGACCGCGTGACTCAGCAGAGTGATGCAAACAAACACGGCGGGTTCCAAGAACGTGCGTTTCTTGCTCGGTGTTTCCTTGGATGGCAACAGACTTTTGATCACTTCCATGATTTTCGGAAGATACGGATTTATCGCGTCCTCGACCGCCACGGCTATGAAACCAATCGACGTGAATGCGGCGTATCGATCTTTTTCGCGTGTTCGCAGGATCAGTAGAAGATACGCCAACGATTCCTTCAAGTGATCTCTTATGAATTTGTCTCTGTTGAACGCGGCGAGTCGAGGAAGCAACATCATGAGCGCGTGTTGTATGTGCGGATTTCTGGAGATTTTTTGATTCATCACGTCGTTATAAATGTCGTCCAATCTGTCTTGCATCAGACATCGGCAAACAGCTGATTCGTGAGCCGGATACAACGTGTGCTGGGACGTTGATGTGTTCTGATTGGATCCCGTCCATTTGGACACTATCGTTGTCTTGAGACGTGGCATCAGATAAAGTATGTCGTTTTCATTTTGCGTTGAACCGCTCAATCTCTCCATCAAACCCTCGTAGTTTCGCTCCCACTGAACGTTGCTGCATCTCAACAGCTCGTTCAACACCAACAACGAGCCGTGTATCCTGTCGTCTCTGTTGATTCCCTTTTCCTTCGAATGCGTCTCTTCGAAACCGTCCACCACCTCGTCGTAACATTGTTTGTACCATTGGGACTTGTGCATTTGCTTTGTTGTTTCTCTCTGAGCGGTGACCACAAGCGCCGCTCTCAAAGCCTCAACAGCACCTTCTCGTATAACAGGCTTGGGGTCGTGTATGGCGTTGAATATCAATTCAAAAAACGGCGTGACTTGTTGAAAGAAGTACGTTGGCACGGAGACGGCAAGTTCTCTCAACACAAGCACGGCAGCGTGTCTTCTGCCCTCGTGTCTGTCCGCGCCGAGCCACTCGAAGGCACGTTTAACTTCAAACTCGACATACTCGGCTGTGTAAGTGCCCGAAACCAGGGCCAGCTTTCCGACCGTCTTTGCGGCCAACTGCATAACGCCCACATCGTTGGAAGGTATCAAATTTCTGAGATAATTGGCAAATCTCACTGTTCGCGTATTAAAATTACCCACATCAGCGCCAATTAGACAAACTATGGCCAATATACCACCTTTTTTCTCATTGATATCGGAAGCCGACACCATCTCGAATATGTGATGATTGAACTCGTCCATAAATGCTGTGATCTCTTCCTGGGACGCTTCGCGCAGTTCTCTCTTGACGTAAAGGCACAAGTCGCGCGCCGCCTTGTTGCGAGCGTCTTCATTTCTCGACTTGAGTCGTTGAACAAATTGTTGCATCAACGTGTTCGACATTTTTCATTAGCACAAATCAAGGTGTAAAATATTAACAAATATGCGATTTCCATTAATGTCCTCCTGTCTGCTTGAGATATAAAAAATTATATATATATATATATATATCTCAATTGTTTAAGTGGAAAATTTATAAAAATATTCAACATACCGAGTTTGCGGTTAAAATATATATATATGCAAAAGAATCTTACGTGCTAGATAATTTATATAAATTTTTTTTATTAGTATAAAACTTACTTGTCAATATCCAAATTTCTTATCATAGTGAAGCATTGTCGTAGGCGACAATATGCTAGTTTTGTCGTTTGAAGAAAACATTGTGCTGCAATATATTTATTTATTTATTTACAAAACCGCCGAAGAAATAAGTCAACTTCAAAATAGGCCGCATAATTTTGGATTTCTCGCAATTGAATTGTTATTCCATCCATTATTTTACAGGCAGGTGTCAATTTTTGTTTCCTTTGCAAAATAATAATACGAGATATTTACATATCCTCTCTTACATCGAATCGGATGTTTTATCTTCTTCTTGTTATTTTAATTAAAAAAAAAAACTAGGATAGTTTTCCGCTACACACCACAGAATTATCATTACTTGTGCCCTAACCCCCAAAAGTTTATCAGCTGAACACGGCAAATTCGCTTGTATATCGGAGAGAAGACCTGGGGGCTGCGGAGGGGAAGGACTTTCTGGGGTATGTTCAAAAATTCTATTTCTTGGTTACTAAAATGCTATATATTTCACGTCACGTGTACTGTAGTTTTTGGTTACAAGTGTGTAGGATCTTGGAATGTACACAGCGCGTCACTGGTCTAGTTTCCATCGAAACTCTCAATTCGGTTTCATTTCCGGTACGGATTAGGCCTGGTTTATGCGGACCTAAGATTTTAATATTTCTATTTATTAACAGAAGCATAACAGAATATAACAGAAGCATTGAAATCCTATAGTTAAACTGTACTAATTCTGGCATAAATTAACAGTTATTACCCGCATAAACAAGGCCAAAACAAAGTCTTATTTGCCCGCATAAACCAGGCCTTAAGGGTCGTCTACAATGGAGAGTTTTAAACTGTAACAATAAGAAACTGACAAATCACAATCGATTATTCTTCTGTACTTCACCTGTGATTGGTCAATTTCTTACTATTACGGCCTACAACTCTCCATTGTAGATGGCTCTTTAAGAAATTGACCAATCACAGACAAAGTACAGAAGAATAATCGATTGTGATTTGTCAATTTCTTACTGTTACGGCCTACAACTCTCCATTGTAGACGACCCTTAAAGCCTGTTCTACAATACAGTCGTAAGCTGTAAGTCGTAAGAAATTGACCAATCACAATCGATTATTCTTCTGTGATATATCTGTGATTGGTCAATTTCTTACGACTTACAGCTTACGACTGTATTGTAGAACAGGCTTTATAGCCCGTTCTTATATACACTGAGCTCAATGGGTGCGTTCAGACAACTAAACAGTTGCACAACGGTTGAGAGATAATTACTTCTGATTGGATCGTACTTTTGGAACCGCAAGCAGATTTTGAAGAATAGTCCTGTCATAAGTGATGATCTCTCAACCGTTGAGTTGTTTGAACGCACCCAAGGTCTGTTCTTTTTCCATACTTTGGCTGCACTAGTTCACAATCTATCTTTTTTTATCTATATTAGAAAAAAAATAGACTGTGAACTAATATATAGGCCTGTTCTACAATACAGTCGTAAGCTGTAAGTCGTAAGAAATTGACCAATCACAGATCAAGTACAGAGGAATAATCAATTGTGATTGGTCAATTTCTTACGACTTACAGCTTACGACTGTATTGTAGAACAGGCCATATGCATCAAACCAAACTCATAGGGTGCGTTCAGACAACTCAACTCAGTTGCACAACGGTTGAGAGATAATCACTTCTGATTGGATTATACTTTTGGAACCGCCATTAGATTTTGAAGAATAGTCTTATCATAAGTGATGATCTCTCAACCGTTGAGTTGTTTGAACGCACCCAAGGTCTGTTCTTTTTCCATACTTTGGCTGCACTAGTTCACAGTCTATCTTTTTTTTATCTATGTCTAAAAAAAAGATAGACTGTGAACTAATATATGCACCAAACCAAACCATAGGGTGCGTTCAGACAACTCAACGATTGAGAGATCATCATCACTTATGATAGGATTATTCTTCAAAATCTGCTTTCGGTTCCAAAAGTACGATCCAATCAGAAGTGATCATCTCTCAACTGTTGCGCAACTGTCGAGTTGTCTGAACGCACCCGATCTCTCAACCGTTGAGTTGTCTGAACGCACCCCATAAGAAACGGGCTATAAGAACGCGACCTACGCTCGCGAATCTCGCGATCGTTGCGAGCACCAAGCGAAACTTAACCCCAAAAAATATGTCAAAATGGCGGTGCCCTCAGCTTCTCTAAATACGCGAAATAAAAAGCATTTTTTAGGCGTACCAGCGCCTTTGGGATATGTTGCCGGTGTTGGTAGAGGGTGAGTTTTATGCGATCAATAATTATTCTTAATAATCATTTGTGAAATTTTATTAATTACAACCGTGGCGTTTGTGAAAGAAACCAAGTTAACCTCCTCTTCTTTTTTTTCTTTTCTTTTCTGTTCAGAGCTACCGGATTCACAACACGGTCTGATATCGGACCTGCCCGAGATGCCAATGACGTTTCGTGAGTTACAAGTTACATTTATCTTTATATTTTAAATAAAAAAAAAAAAAAAAACTAAAATGAAATATCAAATGTTGTTTATTTTGAATACACAGAGATGACAGACACGCTCCGCCTACAAAACGCGCAAAAAAGAAAGAAGAAGAGGAAGAAGATGAGGAAGATTTGAACGACTCCAATTATGACGAGTTTTCAGGATACGGAGGTTCTCTGTTTAGCAAGGTACGTATAAATTAAAATCTTGGGTTCTCAACGTATCGAACGTAGTAAAGTATTCTGTGGTAATACATTAGGATCCTTATGATAAAGATGACGAAGAAGCGGATGCGATTTACGAAGCTATCGACAAACGTATGGACGAGAAACGCAAAGAGTACAGAGAGAAACGTCTGAGGGAGGAATTGGAACGTTATCGTCAGGAACGTCCTAAGATTCAACAGCAATTCTCAGACTTGAAGAGAGAACTGGTCAACGTAACCGAAGACGAATGGAGAAACGTTCCCGAGGTCGGAGATGCTAGAAATCGCAAACAACGTAATCCAAGAGCGGAGAAGTTCACCCCGTTGCCGGATTCCGTCTTGGCCAGAAATTTGGGAGGCGAAACGTCCACCAGTATCGATCCGTCCAGCGGTCTGGCTTCCATGATGCCGGGTGTAGCTACACCCGGTATGTTAACTCCCACGGGTGATCTTGATCTCAGGAAAATTGGACAAGCCAGAAACACGCTGATGAATGTCAAACTTAACCAGGTTTCCGATTCGGTGGAAGGCCAAACTGTGGTCGATCCGAAAGGATATCTCACCGATTTGCAAAGCATGATACCCACTTACGGTGGTGATATAAAGTAAGTAATAACGCATATCAGAGAATGACATGATTGAATATAGGGGTAAGAGATACAGTGATTGGCCACTTAAGGAAAACTGCACTATATAGAGTGAATTATAAAATTAAATTTTTAATAACTTTTGAAGTAAATCTTCAGTACTACTAGCTCAAACAAACTATAACAATTGCAAACAAACTAATAAATTTGTTAGAAAATTTGAAAAATTATTCAAAATTTGATAAAATATTTCCTATACAGGGTGATTCAGAACAACCCGTTATCCTTGAAAATACATATTCTTGACTAAATTCTAAGACAACTTCTTATTTGGCAAAATTTTGTCTGAAGCTTACTTTTTGAGTTATTAATCAAAATAATTGACTTACCACAAGTCGGATGCAAGAGTTAGGCAGGGACGGCGCAACTCACCGTCAGAGACGCGGGCGATTACGTGTGGTGCCTGACGCGATCAGCTGATGATCGCTACGCATTGTTTCTGTATCTTTTTCTGTCTCTCTCTCTCTCTCTCTTTTTTTCTCTTACTTATTTATTTACTCATTCGCAATTTGTATCATTTAATCCGTGCATCACATAAATCACTGTCAATCACGGTGAGTTGCGCCGCCCCTGCCTACCTCTTGGATCCGACTTGTGGTACGTCAACTATTTTTATTAGTAACTCAAAAAGTAAGCTACAGACAAAATTTTGCCAAATAAAAAGTTGTCGTAGAATTTAGTCAAGAATATGTATTTTCAAAGATAACGGGTTGTTCTGAATCACCCTGTATAGAGTGAATTATAAAATTAAATTTAACAACTTGAAGTAAATCTTCAGTAATACTAGCTCAAACAAACTATAACAATTGCAAACGAACTAATAAATTTGTTAGAAAATTTGAAAAATTATTCAAAATTTGATAAAATATTTCCTATAGTCAAAAAATAGACAGTTATCGGCCATATGAGTTCCGTTAGTATCTGTTTACGTAAAAGTTAACATAATAAATTTTTTGTTTCGACTTATGAAGATGTAGTAATGAATATTTTATTTATAACACATTAAAAACTAACAAACCTACTTACATTTGTATCTATAACTCAAAATAAGAGGCCAATGACTGTCATATGGTTTTCATAACTTTAAAACCAGCGATTGGCCAGTTGGCTAATGTTTGTCGTATAACAATAAGTTTTTGAGCTTCTTAAATACTATAATATTACTTTTATTCGGAGCAGAAAAACTTAATTGATATTAAAATGTTTATAATTTAGAATATAATGATAGTATTTATTTAGTACTTCTTTACTACATGGCCAATTACTGTTGGGAGGCCAATAACTGTACTGTTTATAATATGATTGTTTTTTAAATTTTTACAGTGATATAAAGAAAGCCAGATTGTTGTTGAAATCAGTTCGGGAAACCAATCCCAATCATCCGCCCGCTTGGATCGCGTCTGCGCGTTTGGAAGAGGTGACTGGAAAGGTTCAAGCGGCGAGAAATTTGATAATGAAGGGGTGCGAGGTAAATCCGACTTCTGAAGATCTGTGGTTGGAAGCCGCGAGACTGCAGCCGCCGGACACGGCAAAGGCGGTAATAGCGCAATCGGTCCGACACATTCCGACGTCCGTTAGAATCTGGATAAAAGCTGCCGATTTGGAATCGGAGGTTAAAGCAAAAAGAAAGGTTTATCGAAAAGCGTTGGAACATATACCGAATTCGGTGCGATTGTGGAAAGCGGCTGTGGAATTGGAAGAGCCCGAGGACGCTCGCATCTTGCTTAGTCGCGCGGTCGAATGTTGTCCGACCAGCGTTGATTTGTGGCTCGCTCTTGCGAGATTGGAAACTTACGACAACGCGAGAAAAGTATTGAACAAGGCACGAGAGAATATACCAACCGACAGACAAATTTGGACGACAGCTGCAAAATTAGAAGAAGCGAATGGCAATAAGCACATGGTGGAGAAGATAATCGACCGTGCTATATCGTCGTTGAGTGCAAACGGAGTGGAAATCAACAGGGAACATTGGTTTAAGGAAGCCATGGAAGCTGAGAAAGCAGGCGCTGTTCACTGCTGTCAGGTTATCGTCAAAGCTATTATTGGTTTTGGCGTGGAAGAGGAGGATAGAAAACACACTTGGATGGAAGATGCAGAAACTGTAAGTTTCTTTGTTTTTTTTTTATAATAAAAATAATATACAGGGTGTCCCAGAATTGCCGTACAATCTCTCGTAGGCAGGTAGAAGGAGTAAAACTGAGTCGAAAAGTTCTGAATCATTTTTTTCTATTATTTATAATAAAGGAGTAGATAGATAGATAGATATATATTTATATTGGTTCCCCTTAGGGTTACAATCTCTCACACAAAAAAAGCTTATATCTACTCTTACGACTAACCTTACAACTAACTTAAACTAAAAATAAAATAAAAATAATACCTATATACACACACACACATTCGCTTTATCCTACTCTACGCAATGTGGACCTCCCTTTCCGGCAATCAACTCTATCCAGTTACTCCGCCATTGGTTCACATCCACTCTCTTCACTTTCATCCATACAATTACTCAATTCTTTCCACACATCCATTCACCCGACTCCCATTCACTCAACTTTCATCCCTTCCCTCCTAATCATTCCTCTTCTTCCCCCTGTCCTCCCACCATTCCCCTATATTCCTCCAACCTCCTTAACCATCCCTCACCCTCCCCCTCCTCCCCCAGCACCACTTCAATCATATCCTCCCAATTCCCTTCCGCTCCCCATATCTCACAGTCCTCCCACACATGTCTCCACCCCTCTTCCACTAATCCACACATTCTACACACCCTTTCTTTCTCCCCTTCCCAGTATCTATCTTCTCTCATCTCGTTCCCCAACCTAAACCTAGCCACCCTCTGACATCTGCTTTCCCCCCACCCCTTTTTTAAATACCCCGGCACTCCTTCTTAATCCTCCCGTACCATCTATTGTACCTCAAACCTTCAATCCTTTTCCTTCTCTCCTCCCTCTGCATAATAAAGGAGTAATTATTGAGTAAATCAGGCCAATTAGCGCAGACCTTTAGCCAGGCGCACGTCAGTGAGCGCTCACACACACACCAGGCGCGCGGCTCACTGACGTGCGTCTGGCTAAAGGTCTGCGCTGATTGGTCTGATTTACTCAACAATTACTCCTTTATTATAAATAATAGAAAAAAATGGTTCAGAACTTTTCGACTCAGTTTTACTTCTTCTACCTGCCTACGAGCTATTGTACGGCAATTCTGGGACACTCTGTATATGCGTCTATGCACGGAAAGTAATTTTATATTGAGAATTTAATTTGTTTCTATAGTGCGCTCTTCAAGGTGCGTTGGAATGCGCCAGAGCTGTCTACGCGTATGCGTTGACAACATTTCCTAGCAAGAAATCGATCTGGCTACGTGCGGCTTACTTCGAAAAGACGTACGGTACAAGAGAATCGCTAGAAGCGCTGCTACAAAGAGCGGTTGCTCACTGTCCTAAGAGCGAAGTACTTTGGTTGATGGGTGCCAAATCGAAGTGGTTGGCTGTAAGTTAAATTCGTCGATCTCAATCGTCAATTGTCCAACATTCGTTTCTTCAAATTTCTCTTATCCTTACGATTTTTTTCAGGGTGATGTGCCAGCAGCCAGAGGTATCTTATCTCTTGCTTTTCAAGCTAATCCGAATTCCGAGGAAATTTGGCTGGCCGCGGTTAAACTCGAGTCCGAAAATTCGGAATACGAGAGAGCGCGACGGTTGTTGGCAAAAGCTAGAGCATCCGCACCAACACCGAGGGTCATGATGAAGAGCGCCAAGTTGGAATGGGCTCTTAACAATCTCGACGCGGCTTTACATCTTTTGAAAGAAGCTCTCGAAGCTTTCGATGATTTTCCAAAGTTGTGGTTAATGAAAGGTCAAATTGAAGAGCAGCAAGGTTATCTGGATAAAGCGATAGAAACGTACAATCAAGCGGTGAGCAATTTCTCATTCTCTTTTGATTTCAAATCGAGATGCAAGAGCAAGTGTGTGCGAAGAAATTTTAATCTTTTTGTACATTTTTGTAGATCAAGAAATGTCCAAATTCTATACCTCTGTGGCGTTTGCTGGCGCAATTGGAACACAGGAAGAATCAAGTGACAAAAGCGCGTTCGGTTTTAGAAAAAGCGAGACTTAAGAATCCCAAGAACGCGGAGTTGTGGTTGGAAGCAATACGGAACGAATTGAAGAGCGGCGGCGTTCGCGACATGGCAAACACATTAATGGCCAAGGCGTTGCAAGAATGTCCCACGTCCGGTCTGCTCTGGGCGGAGGCGATTTTCATGGAACCTCGACCTCAACGAAAAACGAAGAGTGTGGACGCCCTGAAAAAGTGCGAGCACGACCCACACGTTCTTCTAGCAGTATCAAAGTGAGTTTTTAATATACCAATATAGTTTTATATA